TTTTCAGAACTAACGTGGGAGGTAGTTCAGCAAAAGGATCTCCTGCTTTTGGTTTTGGCTTCTCTTCTTCTTTAGGTGTTTCATCTTTGGGCTCTTCTTTCTTTGCTGGTTTTGGTTTTTGTTCTTTAGGTTTTGTCTCCTTTTTCTTGTCGTCCTTTTTTGGGTGAAGGGAAAAGTACTTCTTGCCTGAGAAAAGATTCAAAAACATGAAAACTTCATGAAAAATTCTTCACAATCATAAATCCATAAGGTTCCCCAATAAACTGTCCACAAAGCCTTGTTATTTGTTCACAATAATGTTTTCTGCAAAACTTTGCACAGATTGAGCAGAGTGGCCTGAACCAGCAGTCTGAGAAAGACAATTTCCCCTCAAAACTTACTATCAAACTTTGCCATGTGTTCACAAAGCTTCACTTCACCAAGAATCTTCTTGAAATGTGGTTGGTTAATACAGGTCATAAACCATCTGTTGACGTTGCCGTACGCATCTCGGAAGGATGGTTCCATAACCTAAAGAAAATGTTTGTTAAAAAGTTGAAAAAAATCTTTACTATGGTATTATTTCACTACAAATGTACATATTTGATTGTCAAGCCTAAAATACCTGTTTGTATAGTAAAACCAAGTTACAGCAGACTGCAATGTCAGCWAGAGTGACTCTTTCTCCAACAAGGAATGTCTTGGTGAGAAGTGCATTATTTAGGGCAGCCATACACTTCTTGATATCTTCCATGGCCTTGTCTGTGGCCTAAAAAGAACATAAAACTAATAGATTGAGTTCTTGTTACTTCACTCAGCTTTTTATCTGTGCTAGAAATCAAAAGAAGTGAATCTTGCATAACAGAACCCYATAAAAACATTATGAACATGTACACTTCTTTTTAATTATTTACTCTTGGAATAATTATTTCTTTAAATAAGCATTTTGCTTTACATATTTTGTTAGCCTTTTAATTCTAAGAACTAGAAAATGGGTTACATATCATTCCTTGTGCCCAGAAGATTGCCTTGCATGTCTTCCTTATTTGTAATATCAAAAGAAAAACTGTATTCGACAGGAAAGAAACCTGACCTGTTTTTGGTACTGTGTAAGGCCAAGAGTAGGGAAGACCCAGGTGGCAGCCGCTGGCAGGATTTCCTGGTCAGCAAAGTTGACGTACTGTTGGATCATTGCAGCATCAAACTTGTTGGTTCCATGAAGTTGTTCATTTGATACTACATATCAATATTATAAAGAAATGGTTAAATTTCGAATAAAACAGTTCAAATTGCAATACGAACATAAACGCTTATTAAACGCTTATATTTACCATAGTATGCAATGGCGTTGCTTTCATACAAGTATTTTCCATCACTTGTCTCAAAGGCAGGAACCTGAAAAAGGCAAAACAATAAAAAAATTAATTTGTTTTCAAAACCTCTCACAGTTATCTAGCCAAATTTCAAATTTCGGTTCAATTCTTAACTAATTATAACAATGATAGAGGAATGTTATATTATATCCATTATATAATACAGACTGGAATTTGTCGAGAACTGCGCGCGTGATATAACAAAGATGACATCAATCAATATTATGTTCTGATTGGTCAGATACATTGAGTGTGCGCTCTGTTATCTTTTTAACTTTTTCAATTAAATAACACGTTCAGAGAAATTTTAGAGGCAAAAAAAATAGACTCCATTCCATRCATCTGTAATAGATGCACAACTGTGATTCGAACAGAAGTCAATTTTGAAGACATTTCAACATTTAAAAATTTTCATCTGTGCATCTACAAGAGCACAGAGAAAAAATGRGATCTATTTGTGATCTACTGATTATTCCATTTTAATATATTATTAACTTTTCATGTGTACACTTTTAAAAAAGCTTAATTGTGAACTTTAGTTATACCAATCGTTTTCTAAGATATCCATTGGAATTCCATTAGAATTAAAAAAATATTCTTATACAAACCTATTAAGATTGTACAATTTTATTGAAGCGCTTTAATTTCAAAAATAACAAATAATTTTCTAAATTATAAGTCACACCAAACAGTTTTAATGTGCATAAACYCACCTTTCCAAGAGGRAATTTCTTCAGGAATTCTTCAGTCTTGTTGTCCTTGCCAACCGTAAACGGAGGAACATTGATTTTCGTGCCGCTGTATTCAGCAGCGATCAAGATTTTTTGGGCTCGGAAACTGTCCGGATAAGTGTACAAAGTCTGCCGGTAATAAMAAAATATAATATTCAAATAATGGCCAGATATTTCTATTATACAATGACACTTGTATAGTCTTTTATTTCCAGAGGATGGCTGTTTTTTACAATGGATTGTAAACTTGTTTTTCTACTTACACCGGCCGCCATTCTGGGATTTTGTAAGAGGAAGAGGAATGCGCAAGACAGGGTATTTATAGTCACGTCTGCGCATAGCCGGAAATGACGTAGTAGTAACGTGAAAAATCGAAAATAAGCAAGAGGGTCTCAATGGGGTTAACCGTGAGCCGTGAAACGGCTGAAAAATTAGCCGTGAGTCGTGAAAATGAGAAAAAAATTAGTCGTGAGGCGTGAAAAAGTCAAATTTTTAGCCGTGAGTCGTGATGCGGACCCCCCCATTGAGACCCTCAAGCAATACATGTACGTAATATTTTCATATACGTTTTGTACTTGTTATTTTTTTTTATAAATAAACTGATGGACGGAGATGGACGCAAACTATTTATTTTATCATTATTTATTTCATAACTCTTTTTATAATAAATGCTCTTTTTTCAATTGTATTTTAATTCTTAAGTCAGAAAACCCATGAAATAGACATTACACTTATACAACTAAGTGCGCTCTAACTACCTTGTTTTCTTTTGTGTCTATTTGACTATCACACTTATAGATAGTCTCTTTCAACAGCCGCAACTTCCGGTCTCGTCAAATTTCCTCCCCAAAAGTTACTTTTGAGTGAGGTGTTAAAAAACCGTGAAATGAAAATTACACTAATGCAACTTAGTTCGCACTAATGCATTGTTTTCTTTTGCGTCTATAATTCGACTATTACACTTTAACACTCAAGTTTTGTTTCATGGGTTTAATGACCTTGCTATAATAGTMAAATTTTATTTCACAGGTTTAATTATTCCACTCTAAACTACCATTTCACTTTTTCGATCCTCCATTAATCAAAGTACGGTCTCTCTTTCCAGGAATTCATTTTCTATTTTATGTTCCAGTAACATAGATTCTCTCGGAATATCATTTTCTTTAAAACGTTTCTTTTTGAAACAGAATCTTRTGAAAAAAATCATTGAGGCAGCAAATAGAACAACGGCAGATGCTACGAACGCCATTTTGTAAGATCCTGCTTGGTCAGCGAGAAAACCTGAAAAAGAAAGCAAAAAAACTATGAATTAATCACTCACTAGAAAAAAACGCGCGCTTTAAAGGTTGTAAATTTGATGTCAATATGATGTAAGTGTCCAAAATCTCTGTAAATTTGATGTAAATGATCTCCAAATTTACAGAATTTTGGACACTTACATCATATTTACATCAAATTTATAACCTTTAAAGCGAGCGATTTTTTTCCAGTGACTATTGCCATGTGGGATAACAAGCAAGTAAAGAACATCAACAGGTACGCGCATGATCAGATAAGTGGTCAAAAAAGTTCTCTTAAMGGGCCTGAGACATCTCAGCCGTAGCCTTRGCTTTTGACTAGAGGCGAAACAACCTTTCCTTTAGTCGTAAAGGGGCTAAATTATTGGATTAGTCAAATGTAATATACCTATAAATGGAGAACCAGTCAAGACTCCAATAGCAGCAATAACTTCACCCGTTGCTAATCCCGATGGTCTGTGTTCCGGTTCCACTGAAGTCAACCAMAGCGAATACATCGATGTCACAAACAAGCCATTYCCAACACCATATACTATTGCAAACGATATGAAAAAATTATCATCGTTCGCAAAMGTAAGMAAAACGAGCGAAAGGCTTATGATAAAACCAGATACTTGGTTTATCCAGAAAACACAGACTTTRGGAGAGTCAAGCATTCTTCCAGCGGTGACTTTGCCGATCAGTGATGTAATGCCTATATAAACGAGCAGCATTGACGATTTTCTCTCTGGATAACCAACCTCGTTGGCATGTTTGACCTGTGAATCGTAAAAAAATACGTGAGGTGAAAATTCTTACAAGGATATATGAAGCCTCCTTCGCGCAGACGTCACGGCTTTCCTCGGCGAGAGAGTGAGATATTCCTTGGAGAAAGCTAAAGAAGCCAACAATTTACTTGTATCAAATTTTATGCCTCGATCATAAGAGCGCCGGAGTACTGTTACACTTTGCGCGAATGCGCTATCAGTTCTGCTATCATTACCGACATATAGTGCAATACCCCCCCCCCCCCCCCCCCCCCCCCCCCGCATGTTATTGTCTAGTTGAAGCGCCGGAAAAGAGCACTAAAAATCAGCCTGAGCAAACATTGTGTTGCATACCATATGAATGAGTGGCGGATAAATTCCAAATGACTGCAAAGCAATCACAATTACTCCAATAGTAAACCATGGATTCCAATAAGAGCACGTGATTTTACGGCGTCGATTGGTTCTTCCACTCGTGTAGTCTTTGCTATCGTTGATGTTAGGACTGTAGAATATCAAGGACAATGTTAAGGGTGCCGTGAATGACAAAGCGATCGCCCAAAATGCTCGTCTCCACCCYAAATTATCAAGCAACAATTGAAACAAAGGACCCATCATCGACGCAATACTTGAACACGTTGAATAAATCCCTGTTGCTAAGGAACGTCTTTTCTTAAAATATCGTTGGAGAATGAGAATTCCTGGTACGTGAAGAACGTTTGTTCCTAATCCAAACARTAAACTGTGTGTGAAGTACATCATTTCGAGTGATGAAGAAAACGAAGATCCAATCAAACCCGCTATGCATGTGACGGAACCAATTGCAGATGTCCAGCGGTTGCCCAAGCAAGAGCACATYTGTGCGGAGATGGGAGAGGCAAGATAGCCCAAACTAAGCGCAATTGATGACACCCAAGCTGTGAAAAAGAATATGTACTTGTTATGCAAGATCTTTTCTGGTTARCAGAGTCGCTTTCGTTGCACCTGTCGACGTGTAATCGATAATTCGTCGGAAACTACAACGAGAGAGCACTCGGCTAGCAGGGAAGACAGCTCTAGATGTGATGTGTAGCAAAAGCTAAAGCACAACCATACGATAAACCTGATAAACGACCTTTTTAATTTTGATCCAGCATATGCCACAACTGCACGTGTCTTTTACAACAATCATCCCCTCCTGGGGTGGGGTACGTCATGACATTACAATAATATTGTATACTTAATTGTATTTACAAATTTACCGGCATTTTCTCTTGTTTGTTTGAATTCTTTGACWAGAATTGGAAGTATTAACGAGTAGCAATAGGACATAAGTATCGCTAGAGTATCATTCATGGTGACTGTCACGAGTACTATCCACGACCAGAAACTGTCTTGCTGGTGAAGACGATTGTAACAGCACATTTTCTCTGATAAAAACGTCGAATATCATTCTAATATTGTTTAATAGCTTTAATTATGCCATGATGGCAGCTGTCAATGCTAGTTGGAACGGTTRCGCACTGCAACATCATGTGCTTTGAGAAATTATCGGTATAAAAAAGAGTAAAGTACATTTAAAAAATGGAATTCTATCCTGAATTCATATAATACATTCTAATCTCTACTAAAACAAATAAATTTTAAAGTGCACATGACACCTTTCAGAAAAACACTTTTATCCGAAAGGTAACACGCTGCCAAGTACTTCTGTGAAGAAAGAAATAGATTTTGAATTGTATTTTCTGAGTTATAGACATTTGAAAATTGAATTTTTACATTGTTTGCCCTATGCTGTTCTTGGTTGGAAAGCGCAAATCATCAATCATAGTAATAATTGAGAGCTGAAAATGCTTTTTCTAGTGTAACAAAAAGAATAAGGTCCTCTTTCATGATTTTGTATATTAAATCATTCCTTAGTAGACGTCACTTCATTTGCATTTTTTTTTTTTGAAGTTTCATTTGCCCATAACTTAGAAAATACAATTTAAAATCAGTTTCTTTCTTCGCAGATGTMCTTAACAGAATTTTCTCTTTTGGATGAGAATGGCAATTTCTAATGGTGTCATGTGCACTTTAAGTGAAATTATAAGGCAATAAAACCATACATTCTGAAYATCCGTTAGCCAGGGCGATGTAAGTGCAYCAAGCTTTAAATATGCTAGTAGCTGGTGGTTGTTTCAAATGACWGGCTCTTTTCGCCTACATAAAACAACATTCTGAAATAAAGACCAACAAGYATGAGCATACATTTTATAGGTATTGTTTTAGAGGGAAAACGCGTCAACACAACCGACTTTAAGGAGGCAAAATAWGAGATACAAAACCAACAACTTAGCGCGAAACATTGTTTCTGTTCAAATTGAGCATCGAAGCTTATCGTTTTATATGCATCGTCAACTTGTCATACAACACACATCGTGAAAACGAGAAACATCGATTCTCAACTTGMACAGAAACGATGTTGCGCGCCAAGTTGATGGTTTTTGTAYCTCATATTTCGCCGCCTTACAATTGCKGTTCACTATCCATGCAGACTAAAAGTAGAGGATATAATTAAAACGTGAAACGGTCACTTGTATAAAATTATTATCGCCATCGTTCATATATAAGATCGCTTATTTAAGAGGATATTCAATGAAAATAACTTGTGTTTGCTTGTTTTTTATTGTTATTTTTTCTGGAATCGTCTTTTATTGTTGAGAAGCTGATAAACACTGAAATAGAGTAGCTTTGATTGTGCAAAGAACCGGGTAAGAAGACTTCGAACATGTACGAATGGCCATACATTAATTACCTCAAAAAAAGTGCATCTACAGCTTGACTTACATTTTCTACTGCTGATTTTTCTGTAAGTACAGTTGCATTCCCATGTGTACTCTTCTGTAAGATAAACATCGCTTTTCTATATAATCGTTGTGTAGCCAAGACAGACAAGACAGCCAAGTCGWCCGCTTGATTATTCAAACCAATTAAGTAAGAATTAGTTACCTTTTTCGACGCAAAGCTACTGTATGCTTGTTAGTAAACCATTTTCGGGCTCAAATTCCTCATTAAACATGGAAATRGTTAAAAAAAGGACCCTCGTTTGGTTTTAGTTATGATACAATTAGATGATAAAAAAACATTGATCTGACTAMCTGAGCCGTGTCCGATGTCCCCAGGGGTCTTGGACACAGATCAAATATATCGAAAGTGTCGCAAAATGAATATATGTCAAGGTCAAAAAAAATGAAAAAAAAATCAAGAACTATTTCTTCCAATTTTAGGTGGTGAAATGGACCATCATGGACCACTTCTTCTTCAAGAATAATACGGAAGACTTGAAAGCATGGCGCCCGTTAGTAGAGAGGCTAAATATCAAATTTTCAGAGACAGGTAACAACAACCCTACACAGAATGGGTCTTTCAAAACTGAAAAATAAAAATTCGTCATCAAAGCATAGTAATCCAATATTTTGTTTGGGTTTGGCGTCCTGTTCTTGTATTAACACATTTAGTGCAAAATATCCGGCCCAAAACGACACTTGACTTTTCAAAACAAACACAACTTTAATGCAATTGTAACATACTCCATTTTCGAATTCAAAGCAAATAAACTCTGTTCTATTTGACAGCATCTCTTATTATGTATTTTATATATGCAAAGAACTTACCAAACACAAAAGAAAGCATGCGAAGAAAATGTTGTAAGTACAATAGCGCTAACAATTTACATTTTCCCCGAGTTGAGGCTAACCCTGTATTATAATACCAAAAGGCTTTACATTGATCAACCATAGGTCTCATGTGAATACAGGGTTAGTCTCAACACAGAAAAAAACTGTTCAGTTTTCAAGGTCATTGCAATAACGACATATTTTCATACAACGTTTTTTCGAAAATGGAGTGTTTCAATTGCCCTATTGTTGCGTCCTTTACACATGGGAATCGACACTTCACAAAAAAACTGCTAAAACTGTGTGATCTCATCTCGAACCATCAGCGCTCTATGAATTCTTATTTTGTCATAAAAATAGAGACAGTGCAGATGTCAGAAGCATTTTTAATTTTAGKTTTTTTTCTGGAAAATGTCTACAAAATGCGTGTGGTAGGTGTGGATAAGATGCTGTTTTTGTACTCTTCAGCAGGTATTGACTGGTAAATTGGACTAGAGATTTATCAAATACATGCATTAAGGATTTGAAAACCTGCCAATATTCAATATTCAACGTCATATTTGCATGGTCTGTTAAAATATGCGAGATCCAAGTGCCAACAAACTAAAAGGATACAAACATTGCAAAGTTGGACGAAACCAATGCTGCTTAGTAACATGTAGTAATGCCGATCAAACCCAAAACAACTGTGCCTTATGTTTGTAGTACAATTCAAAGGTGTGAATTTTATCTGAGGTCACACTTTTTGAATACAATTTGTGGATATTCAATTTTGTTTAACGATGGTTTAGTCAAAGAGTTATCTACCACTAGACCATCAAATAAATACTGTTACACTAACTACACCTGTATGACCATTTTTAAATTATTTTGCTACACAACACTCCTCACAGCTATAGTTTATGACTGACATGCAGAGGAAAACCAGCGTACATGGTGAAAATTCATCAGAGAAAGGGAGAGAAGTCCTGTAAACATGTATCTGGATTTTGCGTGAATCCACCGACTGRTCGCTTTTGTCAAATTTCCACGTCCATTCATTTCCATATCAGTAAAGATTAATTTCATATGCGAGTCCCGACACGATCGACCTTTGCAGTATTTCTTTCTTGAAGACAATAAAAATTCGATTTCATCGCTATTTAGTAAGAAAGGCATGATATAGATCGATCGTCTTCAGACCCTCTTCAAAACTCCTGAAACGTCGCACGATGTGTTTTCGTAGTGAATTTCTTGTTCTCAAACCTCAAGACAAAAAAACTTCCATACACTCACTAGACTTTCCCCGAGTCTCCCCGTCGCTGGCAAAATATCCCAGAATATCGATGAGATGAACAGTTTTACAGTCTCTTGCATTGGTGCCTCTCTCACCGTCGGCTTCGGCAACTCTCCGTACAGTTCATTCAGGAAATTCCATCGTTCGATCCATCGTCGTTCGAGAGAAAAAGAGCGAGAGATACTTTGAGCACGTGTGTGCGCTCAACCGTCACTTAGGTTTGCTCCAAACACAACTGACTTGTTCCGACTAATATTGGTGATTTGGACTGAATTCGGTAAATGTGAGCTTGCATCTTTATTCACAGTTGGTATATAGAGGCCAAGATGTTGAAAATGGAATGAATCAAATAGTGCCACAGAATCTTGAACTGTATCATCATTTTGCTACAGAACAGTTTCTTTTTCCACGAGTTCTCTTTCCGTGAAGCTCACAAAAGCCACGCTTTCGGCAATTTTGCTTCCAAAGGTTTTCTTCTTAAAACAGAATCGTACGAAGAGCAATAGAGTAGCAACGAACAAGATAACAGTAGACACCACAAACGACATGTTGTACGACCCATCTTGATCTGCAAGAAAACCTGAAAGGCAGATTAAAACACGGTCAAATGGTAAAGATGATTTTAGAGTAAAATGGTGGGAACTAGCGGTAAACTAGTGTGAGCTGCGTCGGTGTTTCTCAGAAACAGTTATGTAAAAAGATAAATTTAACACCGTAAAAAAGTATGTGAAATAACTTACTAAGTAAGTTACTTCAAGTTACTAAGTAAGTTATTTCACATACCTTTTTACGGTGTTAAATTTATCTTTTTACATAACTGTGATTTTAGAGTAAACGACCGAAGAAAAATTCGGCAACAAAAGGGTGGAATTTGGACCAGACAATATCCATAATGGGTGAACAATACAAGTCACTTTTACCTATAAATGGAGAACCGGTCATTATTCCAACTGCAGCAATGACCTCGCCCGTTGCTAGTCCTGAAGGTCTTCTTTCAGGTGCAACTGAAGTCAACCATATTTGATACTGTGATGTCATAAATGACCCATTTCCAATACCGTACAATATTGCAAATGCTATAAAACTTTTATCGTTCTTTGAAAATTTTAGTAAGAGCACAGAAATTGTTAAGAACATTCCAGAGCATTGGTTCATCCAAAAAGGACAGAATCTAGGAGARTCGAGGAGTCGTCCAGCAATAACTTTACCAATCAATGATGCAATACCGATATAAACCAACAACATTGATGACTTGTTTTCTGGATAACCAACTTCCTCGGCGTGTTTACCCTGCAAGAAAGAAAAATATACATAGACTTTTGCATATTTCCATTTCAATTTTATAAAGTTATATAGTGCAAAAGCGTTGCGCTCCAGCTCTTGGAGTTAGATCAACATATGAGTCATTTGGGACTGGAATAGTGTAGAAAGATGATASCATCTTCTATTAGAGTTTGTTTGGAAGGGTCTCAGTTTTCTTACCATGTGTGATAATGGCATATAAATTACAAATGACTGCAAGCCAATGACAATTACTCCTAAGGTGTACCAAGAATTCCAATACGAACATGATATACTACTTCGCCTATTCGGGGTKTTGYTACTTYTTCCACGACATTCCTCTCCATCATCAAMGTTTGCACTATACAGTACAACTTCCATCGCTAACGGAACTACAAACCACGAGCCAATTATCCAATACATTTTTCTCCACCCTAATTTATCAATAAGAAACTGAAATAAAGGTCCCAGCATTGCCGASAAGCTTGWACTTGTTGCAAAGATTCCAGTTGCAAGRGCACGTCCTTTTTTGAAGCATCGTTGTAAGGTAAGTATTCCGGGCAAATGAAGCAAGCTCGATCCCAGTCCAAAGACAATGCCGTGWGTGARGTACATCAGTTCAAGTGATGGAGAAAATGAAGAGGAGACTAGACCAGCCATGCACATGAAAGAACCTATGACTGCTGTCCAACGGTTACCCAAATACTYTGAAACTAGTGCTGAAAGTGGTGCTGCTAAGTATTGCAGACTATAGGCGATGGATGGAATCCAAGCTACGAGACATGACATAAAATTTCAATGTTAAATCTTAGTTTATCAAAATGTGGTTCGAATGTAGAACTGGAAGTGTGCAATACTGAGGAAGACTTTATGATCTTCAAAGCTCATAAGGACTCGGTTATATTTGTTTAAAATAGTTCCTAGTCGTTTAGCTGTGTTATTCGCTTTATGTTATSTAACAGCCTAGCCAACTCTCGGTACAGTGAAGGCCTTAACCAGGGAAAAGAAGGCAAATGCGTCGCATGTAGTAGAAACTAAGATCATCACATGTGTTACCTTCCATTGCTTTGTTCGATAAAGCCAAGTATTAAGCCGATATCAGTAAGAGAGAAGCTAAAACACCTAGTAAAATACAATCGATATTTCACTCCCTGTCAAGATTAGCTTACCAGCTTTTTCTCTTGTTTSGTTAAATTCTTCTACTAATACAAGAAGAATGACGGAATAGCAGTAAGTCATCGCGGCGGCCAGTGCATCGTTTAATGTAGCAGTCACTAACACCATCCATGACCACACACCATCTTGCTGATGAAGATGATTACAGCGGCCATCAAGTAAGCAATGCATTATTTGCCAGCCACGAAAGACAAAATTCTAGTGGTTTTGTAAATATTCTGAAAATGTTAACCATATCAATATACTTTCATGTCTGTGGTGGTTACTTCAATTTTAAACAATTGCTTAATAACCTCACGACAGTAGGTCGCATGCGATAGTTGTTGGGAAAAGTTGTGTCGTCTAAATCTGCCTTTACGGTGTTAGACTTGTGTRATGTTTAGTATTCAACTATTGATTATACTTACATTATGTTACAGAAAGCTCAGCGCACTAACTTTACATACGGCGAATATAWAGTAGCAGGGACTCACATATAGCAGTAGTGCGTGACACGTATTGTTATRTCCTTGAATAGTTTGACTCTTTTTTCATTATTTTTAAGGAATTAAAATCTTTCCTGATACAAAGAAAAATTTACACGACAAGAAATAACAGCTTTCCGACGGAACAGCGTGCAGTAGGAAAGCGTTTTCTTTACGTTTCTGAGTGTATTGTATCACATTGTGATACGCTATTATCGTTGTGAGTTTATATAACGTTGCACCCCTGGGGATCCTCATTAGAGGACTCGTGCACATATGCAAATTATTGACTGGTTAGTATTTATACAGGTAGATTTCTACAATCTGTCTCTCGCTTGCTGGACAGCAAGAAGTGTTGGATTTGGGAAGCAAACTTAAMYACTCAGGCCGTCTTCTCAATTAAATCTTACTTCTCGTCAGGTGTTACAGAATAGCTGAATTGTAAAATATGGAATTATCAATTATTAYWTTGCTGTATTTGTGATTAAGACTTTATTGCAAGATAATTTGTTATACATAACTGAGTTAAGCTCTAGCCCTCGGAGCTCATACGCCGCATCGGTCGAGGACTACGTTTCCAGTTATTTTTCCAAAGTGKTTTTTTATCTGGTTTTTCGTAGCGGGCAGCGTATCGTACATCTTGTAACTAATTTCTTCCTAACATAATTTGATTGATTGTAAACAGTATATTATTGTGTAATTRAAGTAAATAAAGTCGCTGGTTGTGCTGTCCACCAGGCACCAGGCATTGTCACACTCCAATATTGTATATATTGATTATTGCGCTTTGGCAGCGCGAATTAAGGGTAGTAAGGAAGAAAAATACTCACAAACGAACTGGGAATACGCTAAACTATAATCCGCCTACTTGATAATGACATACTTATAAAATATTCAAAAAACCCAAACGTAAAGGAAAGAAATTTACATAAATGACAAAGAAACTTAACGACAGAAGCGCATCAAAAAATACAATAGTGGAGACTATACTAAGAAGATTAAACTGAAAGAAAAAATAAGAAGAATTAAATGACGACTCAATWTATGCTGCAATGCACATTTATAACATTATCAATGGTCATACCCTGCTGATAGAAAGAAGACATATTTCATGTCGTTATATGTCTTGCGTCCCACAATATCAGAAATAAAAATGTCTCGTTACTTACTAAAGATTGAGATGTAAGCCTTGTTTCACGATTGCTGGCTTTGTTATCACGCGCGTCCAGTATACTGCTATATCAAGCGTGATTCTCCCATATATAGTGCCTGTTGCCCATAAAGTGTCCCTATCGCGATAACATGCTACTTTTTGCATATAGTTGTCAATAACTAGAACATGAAAAAACTTTTAAGGCCATCAGAGGACCCGGACAATTATACATGAACACTGGGGCTGAGACAATCGATCCACATTAGCAGACACGCAGCGAGAAGAAAGTAGAATGATCGCACGTAATACTAAAACTGTACAAAATAGTACAAAGTTATGCTAATTTCTTTGCTTTCTATTGCGGAATCTAATGAACATTATTTAGTATGGTAATTGGTGCGAGTGAAATAAAAAAAAAAAACCCGTGAAATAGATCTAATACGCCTTACACTYAATACACCTATACGCTCTAATTGTATTGCTTTCTTTTGCCAGTCCGTCCATATCCATATCACGCTTATATAGTTTTTGGTCTAGAGCGAGTCATTGAATCCGTGAAACAAAACTTGAMAAGCAAAGCGTAATARTCAAATAGGCACAAAAGAAAACAATGCAGTTGGAACGAGCTCYACTAAGCTGAATTAGTGTAAAGTGTCTATTTCACGGGTTTTGTGACTTTACTCTAGTGGATTCAATCTAAGGACGTCAACTCTAGTATAACATAATCGAACTATTTTGCTTCATTTATAAGATTATATTTAGAAACAATATGCAAACTTGTAAGTGTGTGTGTGTGCTTTTCAATCCAAATGGAACCTTTCCGACCTGTTAAGTTCGTTGTGGTCTTGATATTTTTTTAGGCATGATTTGCTTTTTTGCTGGTGCTCAAAACGAATACTGTTGAAAAATCGCAAAAAAACCTCTTAACCACCTTTTCTTGATCTCTCTAATCATGTCTAATTTGTGCAGCCAAGTCGGAATAGCCTTTGGCGGAAGAGGTACTAGACAAAGGTCCGCCTATCAATGTTTAAAAGGCCTATACAAAAGGCTACAAGTTGAATTTTATATACTTAACAACAACGATAAGATAATTAGCGCAGAAAAGATTGTGAAATATTCAGTCTGAAAACAGAAGGCTACTTCCTTTTACGTGATTGCATTTCCTAAAAGAAAAGAAAAAGGAATGCCATAATCATTTGATGTCCAATGAAATGTTGGCTGCCGACACTTCAGAATTCGGAAACACGGAACTAGGGTTTTAAGGTTGGACAAATTACCTTCCAGTGGCGAAGGTTATAGAMGTTAATGTCSTATTCCAACTGTTCCAAAACTAGAGGTAAYCTATAAACTGTATCCAAAACTGGTTGCCTTTGAACTCAGCATAGCTGCATCTGTTGAAGTATGCGCCAAAGCAAGGTATGGTAGATTATATCTTTGGGTGCTGTATTAAAGATAGCTATGGCATAATATCAATGCAAATGGATTAAGATTTGATATATTTTACTTAACCTAAACGTTTATAAACACAAATCATGCATAAAAGTAAATATAGATATTCATGTAGATAAATATTTTAAATTTTTTTTTGTTAGTTAGTAGGTAACTGGCTATAAAATTTGATAATGCSCGCTGTATGAGAATTCTGGCGCCAGACGGCTGTTTATATAGTTGCTATGGCTATGATACATGATATGCATAAACTAAAGAAACAATATCATTACTAATAATAAATATAAAACGAAATAAATAACAGTAAAATGAAATACATACAGTGATTTAATCGATTTAAAATGAATTGACATAAAAAAATATACATTGATTTATCTATATGTAATTTAATATCATAAACATTAACTCAGCGTAAACCACTATAAAACTAATCTGTCCTTTAGCAAACAAATTGTACAAAATTACAATCAACAAATAAAGAAAATAAATGTATATAAAGACTCGTCACTCACGATGGCGTATTAAAGCATGGGCCGAATTTACCTCAAAAACTAACTCAGTTTTAATTTCATGCTTAAACTTTTTGTATGAAAAAGTCTTTTCAATGATTATTCTTTAAAATATAATTTCTCCATATATAATGCATCGGAGTCTATGATGACTTAGTTTATTTTCGTCCCGGAAGTTTTTTGTCTACCGGCTAAGGCACATGGTGCCAAGGCACATAGTCGGTGGAAAATGATGTCATATTTAAATGAATTTCWTCACGTTCGAAAAGTACTCACATTTTTAAGTAAGAAAATAGTTTTTTATCTCATAGTTACTGAGATTTACACACGGAAATCTTATTTAGCAAATTCTCGTTCGTAAGCTGAATTTAGCCAATCAAAAAGACGAACGATATATTTCACTAGTGAAAAAATGGCGTTCGCGTTTCTAATTGGAAGAACATTGTTTTTCACTCGAAAATGCTGTAGAGACGTTCATACAATAACAAGAAAATGCAAACACAGTCAGGAGGAGCCGACGGAGTCTGTCCTTCTAAATAACTGTTCTTGTACGAGTTGTTTTTCCCGGAAAAGGGATTTTTGAGCTACATTGTTAAAAATGTCAAGCAAATGACAAGCAAATGTGGCGCTTCCTTCTTTAAAATAATTTTGTTCCTGGTAAACGTTTTTAAGGTCAAAAAAGGCTTATATAACGCTCTTTTCTGGTCAAAAACGGCTTAAATAGCTTTTAGGAAAAATATTTGGATCAATTGATATGTGTTTTATATTTTTATTGAACTTTTTTGGCAGACGACATCGACGCGTTTTCGCGTGGTTTTCTTTGCGAATTTTGGCGATTTTTTTCGCTTTTTTGCAAGTGTATGTCATCGAGTATTTCCAAAAAAAATTCATCGAAGTGACATCACGGAGTCCAATGTCCACGAACGTCCTTATTAGAATATTTTTATGACATATAGGCAAGAATTTTTCCCTCCAAATCATAGTTAACTATRAGTAACTATGTCCAAATTTAAGTGCAAAAAAAAAATCGAACCGCATAGTTGATCCTTACTTGCTATAGCACAAGTACTGRAATATTCACTTCAGCTTGGATTTTTAAGATAAATCTATCGTGTACGCACTCGAATGACAAGGTCCAGTTGTAGGAAAAGTCCAACATTTTTAGGGGTGTCTGTCGATGTCTTGTCTATTATTGACTGATCATGACAACTCCATTTTACACTGTCTACTTAACTTCAAATCTCCGGAAACTAAAACCTCTAGTTTAGTGAAGTGGTCCATTTTAGTGTAAATTGCAGCGGAATTGAATAATTTACTGGAATTAATACGCTTGTATTCGGTAGAACTTAACCTCAGCAGACATCACATGACATACATGGCTTTTGTTCGGATTATGATATACAAATTAAAAAAATCCTATAAAATACTCTGTTATGACTTACATGTCTGAAATATAAAAACACAAAAATGTCTGAAATATTGTCAAGGTAATTCACAGTATTACACTATCATATGAATACTGAAAATTTATTGAAAATGAATGGACAAGACATAGTTAATATTCTAACTAAGAACTATGGACAAGACGACTCTCAGCTTTGCTGAACGATGATATGTACTGAGCGTAGCTTCTCGGCTGTCCATTAATCAACATTAATCATTAATCAATTAATTAATTCAAATGAATTCAACTAGRCATAACTTCCATTCTTTCACGAAATAAGACATAAGCTTAAATAGACAAAAAATGGCATTCTGTTTTGGACATTTTGGTGATGTAAACTAAGTCATGCAGCTCTGGTGACTATCCCTCAAAAACAGTGTTTTTCTTAGTTGCAATTCTCAGTTTCTATTAGTAATAACTTGCTATATTTATGTTAAAAAGGGGTTTTTACTTACGTTTAAGTGATTTAGCAGAGATAAGATCACGAGCGATCACAAKGAGTGGGTGAAAAATAATCACTCTACATCCCCTCCCTTAATCAAATTTTTGTTCCTGTTTTTGTCACATCCGGGACTTTGGCTGGTATAGTGGCACAAAAGTTTGTGGAATTTTGACACAAACTCTACTCCTCTTTGTAGATTTACACGTATTTTTCAATGAATTTCTTCTTGACAGCGAATTTGCAGGCTGCGAGTATTTCAACTCCTTAGCTCTAGGACTCCAGCAGATGTCAGGGTCGTGTTTTTATTAGTAGAAATGGTTGAACCGTTGCGCTAGCTGAGCTATCACGATGCATTTATGGCTGGCGGTGGTCGTGTTGCCAAGCTGGAAACACGGTCTATGATCACTCAGCCTGATGAAGTGTACTCACAAGCTATGGATGAAAATGCAGTATTGGGAGGGTTAAAAGATAAAGGGAATCCCGCTCGAAGGGCAGCAGTTATCGAAGAGTTAAGAGCAAGTGTTCGGCGTAATGGAGGACATCTACTATTTGAAGATCGTCATAGTTTATTTCATGTTTTTCAGAGTTCTTTGTGCGATAATGACCCAAATGTTCGTCTACGATGCATCGAGTTTATCTCAGAGATTGTGCCCGAGTTTGGCACCGACCTCGACAACTGTATGTCGCTTATTCTGCCGCAGTTGGTATCAAACCTTGGCAACCACACTGTCAGTGTGAAGAAATCAGCGATTCAAACTTTACATGTCTACATGAGAAACTCGAGCAATGTTGGAGCTGTTTTCAACGCAATTATTGAACACGGCTTAGAGAGCGAAGATAAAAGAACACGAACTGAAAGTCTTGTAGCTTTGCCGATTCTAATTACACCGAATCTAGCGCWTGAAGATCTTTTTGTTCTGACCAAAGCGCTGGTTGGAATACTGGAGAGCGCTTCGCGACCCGAACCAACTGTACTTTCTCTTGACAGAATTCGCAATGTTGTCGGCGAAGAAAAATTTGATGACTATCTTCGTCGATTGCCAGTCACTCAGCAAAAGCTATGTGCTCAAGCAATTCAAAATTGGGGACATTTTTATCGAGAAGATATGGAAAAGATTAATTTGCGAAAGGCAAAAAGCGCCAGCCATATCAGCACCAATGGTGTAGTTGTGGAGGACGAGGAGACATATACGAACGGAGAGAAACATAATTTAGACCGTGGTCATACAATAGCAGTGACAAAAGGATATGTAGCGAAAGAAAGTTTTCATCCAAGAAACGAGGAAGTTGAGTTTGGCTTTGTACCGCAATCGATTATTGTAAAATTGAAAGATCAGAGTAACTGGAGAGTTCGTGCTCAGGGGATTGAGGAACTAAAAAATGCTATGGGTTACCTTGGAGACCCATCGCCCGTTCTCCCGCATCTAGCATCTTTGTTTGGATTACTACTTGATTTTTTAGACGATATCAATTTTAAAATCACAGTAACTAGCCTTCAAATAATCGGACTTTTGATTGCTAAACTTGGCCCAAATGTTGAACCATTTCTCAAGCCTCTTGTCAACACCCTGACTAACAAGCTTGGGGACAATAAAATAGTTATACGACAAGAAAATATGAGAGTTCTCATGCACCTTATGCAGATCTTGTCCCCCAAACCTGTACTAAGTGTACTGACTGCAAGCCTTCAACACCCAAAATCAAAAGTCAGGGAAGAAACTCTGAATGTTGTTATAGGAGCATTGCTAACATTTCCTCGTTCGGATTTTGATCTCCCTGAACTTACAAATGCTATTGCCCCTGCACTTGCGGATAGTAAACGTAAAGTGAGACAAGCTGCACTWGAAGCATTTGCCGTTATTGCTCAAGCAATGGGACCTGGACATCTAAGGCCRATTGTTTCAGCCGTCGACAAAATAGARCTTACAAAAGGTGGCGATGGCGTAATGGCTGCTGTACAAGCAAGGCTTGCACGTCGGCAACTTCCAAGATTAAATAGTGATGGTTTAGTTGAATATGCAATTCCTGTACCCACTTCTGGTACTGTGCGGGGRCAGAGCAGTGGTCCACGGGGAGCTGATATTGARTGGGTAATGGCTGGAACAGGCGGAAATAGTTCTGCCGATGTGACAAATTCTGCACGCTCCACACCTGGTTTGAATGATTCTATGAATAACTCTGGTCCTAGTCCAAGGAGATATTAYAGTGCTGGAAAAAATAGACTACCATGGGAAGAACACAAAGACACATCACTACAGGTATGATTGAAAATTAGTTTATCATAAAATACAATTAGTGCACTCTAAACACATGATTATGGACTGCTTTAGCAACAATAACTGTTAACATCATTCTTTCAGTCTTGGTCGATGGTGTTGACATGTAAAAATATATACCATAAGCATGTATTTATGTTGAAGTTCTACATGTTCATGTTAAAGTCTATAAACCATAAACCAAAAATTTTAAAAGAATGCAACTTTTTTAAGATTGRAAAATCTTAGGTTTAAGAACTAGAAATATTAAGTTTGCACTTTCCCAGGTTTTTGGCTCATTTTTTTCCTTTCCTGTTATTGTTTTTTTTACTTGGTGTTGATTTTATAATGATAATTAGTCTTTTTATCTTAATAATATTCCTTAACTTGATCTTTATCAATAATTCTATTCTCACACTGTTAGTGGTCGCTATCATTTTGCTGGATGCTATGTACATTCTCCATGTAAGTCAGTAGAGCAAAACTCCTACAACAAAATTGTTGACTATTTCTTAACAGTTACATTTCAAAATAATAAAAAAATGTTTTACAAACTTGCTGATGCTTAACAYGTATGTTTCTTTTTGTTATCTTCCTGCATATCTCATTGGAAACTGTAAAAAATTAGCCCAATGACCTCTGTGTTATGCCGGCACTATTCAATTGAGGGAAAAAGGACCATTCATAAGCCCWGTGGGGTATCGTACAAACACRCAACCACTTCAATATAACACTATAGGACAAAGCTGTTCTATAATTTAATATTCGCATCTTCAAAAGAAAGAAAATCCCTGAGGACATTTTACAAAAATCTTCTSTTCATAGTGTGTTTTTAATGTACTRATCAAATGTCTGATGTGGCAAAGTTTGCTTAGTCATATTATATATTTTGCTTTGTGTTTTGAGCTTTTTTTTCTGTTTGGGTAAAGTTGTTTTCTTGTGTTTAATTTTAGTTGTTGAAAATTTGACGAAAACATCATTAGTATGATGATGACAAAAATATTATTGTTAAGATCAAGGGTTTGATGAATTTATACCAGATACAATATTTAATTTTGAAGATTTCCAATCTCAAGGTTATGTTTGCTTTGTGTATGAATTGTTTGCTACTCTAATCTCACTTTCAGCGCTAGCTTTGTTGATTCATAAGTCAATACATAGTCCATCACATCTTTGAAATTGTTTTAAAGCATTTTCCAAGTCTGTTTTTATTGCAGGAACACATTTACAGCACTGTAAAAAAATTAATCCAAGAATGTGCAAAGTGTCCTTGAGATTTTATGATAAAATTGCCATCGAAAATTTTAACTATCGCCCACACACAGAAGCTAAATAAACACAGGATATTTCTTAATGTAGATGTGTTTCTTAGACATTGTTAGTATGAACTATCAGTCAAATATTTTGAGGAAATTACAGAGACACTATATTGAAGTTTTCTTTGTTTCAAATTAGCCTTAACTTGAAAAACAGCAAGTGGTAAAAAACTCTTGAGGCAAGTGTCTATTGATTGGGCCRGTTTTATTCAGATTTTTTAATTGGGGACATTTTTAGATCTAATTTTAGTCATGTTTGTGTTTTGTATTAACAACGTTGTGACATTTTTCTACTAGCTTGCACTTATGTAATTACTTTGTAAATTGTTTGAAGTTTGCTTGGAATTTATTCAAATATTTTTAATTGCAAATTGTAAGTTTAGGTTTAAATTTTTTTGTAGAAGGATAAACAATTTATAGTAGGAATAATATTTAAGATATCTGTTAATTGATGGAACTAACATATAATTATTTTACATAGACTTTTTATGTGGTTGTGATGAAGAGACAATCATTTTTTTTCTGTTCACAACATCATCTTTATGCTTTTTCTAAAGTGTTCTAAATTTTTATCTCCTTTAATTTCCAATGCTGTCATTCTTATTTTTATGTTTATATTTTATTTTATCAGTAGTTRTTGTACATTTTTAATAATTCTGTTTTCATCTCACATGTTAATTCAGCATATCAATAATTGTTTTGCATGTTTTTGTTTTCTTCAATCTATTATTTTTTCTTTCTTTCGACTGGTTTTGCAGAATTTTTAATATCAATATTAATCAATTTGTGTTCATTTATTTCATTTTTTTTCACATTTTTGTTTATTTTCCTATATTTTTTGTGAATTCTATTTTTATCTGTCTATCTTCTCTCATTCCGTTTTTAACTCCTATGTTCTTTTTTTACACCTGTTGTAAACAATTATAATTTCTAAAAGCCCCCGTAGACACTTGAATATATTCACATGTAAATTTAGTTGATGTGGTAACTCAATTTTGCCTAATGAATGTATGAGACCAAGTTGTATCTTTTAAAGTCTTTTTAGCTCATGTATACTTTAGTTTCTGTGAGATTATAGATAGTTTGGTTTTTTAAATTAAAACTTAATGCAATTCACGTAGATAAAAATAACTGTCAAAATATTCTTCTAGAAAATAAATAAGCTGATAAACCTGACAATTAAGGAGCTTAAACATCAGACTTCGGGTCTGCAGGTTTAGTTTCCCAGACAGTGTAATCACTTTGCGTCCTTAGGCAAGACGATTTTATTACTCTTTCAGTGCTTCATCTTATCAGGAAATACATAAAGCCATACACATTCTCTCTCCCATTCAAATAGAGAAAACGCAGGAAAACTATGGAATAAAATCAAACTAAATACTAACAAATTGTGGCTATTTAGAGACAGTATCAATGAACCARAACACAATGAAGATGAATCCACATGGGACCAGTTTTCATTCATCTTGATTGCATTCTGGTTCATTAGATGTACTGACAATTTGTCTCTAAGTAGCTGCTATTTGTTAGTATTTAGTTTGATTTTATTTCTTGGTTTTCCTGCGTTTGCTCTAAGCATGGAAGGGATATAATTGAACATACATGTAGTACATGTACATGTACACCACTATTCAACTTAGAGCAGGGCACAAAGTTCTAGGTTGTGAGGTCATTACTAGGGAAGACGTGAAAACAAGTCAAATAATGGCTGTGAGAGGAGGCTCTCTACATGAGCATTGAGTTCAGCTTGGTGTGAAATGTGTACGAAGGGGTTACCAGTCAATAAGATCTTGTAGCTAGTAACCCAAAGGACTTTGTGAAGTGCTGGGAAAATATTACTTTAACACCATCCATTTAYGATTTAATACTTAAGGGTTTATATAGATTCAAATCAGATCAGTTAATTCTCATGAATAATGTTAATCATGTTCAATATAAAGATACAGTGTACTTATTTATTTGTCAAGGCAAATGTTCTTAAAATGAGTCAAAAACAAAAATATTTTCAATTGTTGCCTTGAATTTTTATTTTAATTAATAAAAGAGAGATACTACAGTGTATTAATACTTGAGCCCATGTAACTGGTTATTTATTATAAAAACAATGAAATATTGATGAATATTTTTTATGTTTGGAAAACACTACTGACCTAGTCCGTCTCGAGATCATGTTACTGGTTTTTTATTATAAAAACAATGAAATATTGATGAATATTTTTTATATTTGGAAAACATTACTGACCTAGTCCGTCTCGAGATCATGTTACTGGTTTTTTATTATAAAACAATGAAATATTGATGAATATTTTTTATATTTGGAAAACACTACTGACTAGTCCGTTGACAATGTGATGTCCCTGGTTTGTTAGCTCTCTGGGTAGTACAAGTATAGATTGGAAAGCACCATTTATTCTAATGAAAACAAATGACATCCTCTGTTAAAGAGAAAGAAGACTTCATTGAACTCAAGATTTATAGATGAATATGATTAGAAAACTATTTTTTAATTAGTTATTAACAATTGATATATGACTATGAAATATGACTATCTGTTATTTTAATCTTATGCTTTCCATTATCATTTCGATCATCTTTCCACTACTTTTTCATTAGATCACGGGTTGAGTGTACTACAAGGCCATAGAGGAAGTACTAGTCCACACCCCCTCRTGATTTGTCCRAGTACTCACCAAACTACATGACAAATTTAAAATGAGAACATTAAATTTTCTCTGTATTTTCAACTATTTTAATTTGCATTTCTTAATGTGAACATGTGTAACATGAATATTCCATAGTTCAGTAGCCAATCAGAATGCTGGATTTGTGATAATCCATATTTTGTTGGATACTAAACAATGAAATACCTTTTTTTTCTTCTCTTCTTGAAAACTATTTAATCAACACACAATTCATTGTAAGCTTGTTTCTATCATGTAGGGTGACTCTACAGAACAAAAACCTCAACTTGTAAAGAATTCCTGGGTTCCTGGAGACCTTGTGAACGACCGTTCRCCAAAGAGAGGTGGTCCACAACGACCAGCAAACATCAACACCCCTAATAGTGCACCAACAAGCACCTCTAAGCTTACCACTTCATCGTACACTGAAAAGTTCCTRCGTAATCGCAATGCACATCAGTCACCAGCAGATAGTCACATGCCCAAACCTCCAGACTCAAGCTCTTCYTCTTCATCGTCGTCTTCGTATGCTGAGATTCACCGCAGCAAAGTAAAGAAGGAGAAAACAAAACCCAATTTAAACGCAACTGCTCCYGCATCTAGTGGATCTGGCTCAAGTTCTGTGGGAGCAGGGGGRAGTTATGCCTTGCKGTAYAAGCGAGGAACTATCCACGCCAAGCCCAARGCTAGCAGCAGTGCAGAACCCGCCATCGGAGAAGTGCAACCYAAGGAGACATTAACAAGAAATGCACACTCWACCACACCCACGGCTTTGCCCTCCCATGCAGGGTTTGTACCTGCAGACGATGACTTGTTTTTCTCACAAAGGAAGAGCTATCCAAATGCGCTGTCGTATTCCTGGCCTGACTGGACAGAYGCTTCATCTGGTAGACCATTTGGACGGCTATCACCAGTGTCACACGGTTAGTTCATTTTTGGGTGGGGGTAGTGTTGGGTGGGGGTAGTGTTTTGTTTTGCTCACTTTGGAGCCAGTCTCCGGTCAGACATCCATTTAGCAGGTAGAGTTTCTTTTATAAAGTGATCTCTGGAGGATCTTGAATGACCTTTTTTGTTAAAAACTCAACATTACAAACGTCTCATGCGTTGAAATAATCTGTATAGGGATTATTGCATGTGTAATTCAATGCCCTGATATGATGGCAAACCGTGTTTCAACGCCCTGCAATGAAATGTCCCAATTGTTGACCAATTTGTTTTCCTATAGGTCATGTTCCAAATACAGATTTCGACTCGGGATTTGACGTTGATCCTGATGGAAAGAGAAGTGGTAAGCATACTGATATTTTTTGTTGTTGTTTAACGTACGTTTCAAGAGCACCTTGTGAATTCATCCCATGATAATTACAATTTTCCGACATAATTTTTTTGTCTACATTGTGATTTATGAAGATTTTTGTACAAAATTAAGAATTTTTGCATCCATTGTATTATCTTACGCATAGCCTGCGTAGCTGCCTTACAAGGATTGGGAAGGGACGAGCGGGGAATGGGGTTTTTCTCCTCCCGATTCTCCGCTCGGCCCTCCCCAATCCCTTCAGGGCCACTACGCATTGTACTTACGCAAGACAAGACCTTTATCAAGCAAATTACTTATGCGTACATTTTGTTTTCAGAACCTCACACTCCAGTTCACATAAAACCTCAGCTTGCTCGTTCTGCGTCGAAAATCCGCGGACTTAAAAATCCTGATTTAGTTGATGGCATTACAGGAATAGATCCGTTTGAAAGGTCCACACCTCTCGCTCCAGTTATCAATTCACCTGGAAATGCACTGGTAAGACAAAATGTGCTCATTGATTGACAGACAAGTTTATTTGATACCAGTTGATTGGTTGATTGACTGATGGTTTCTCTGTGTGATTGGTCGATCATCGTATCGTTTTGATTGCTTAGTTGATTTATTGATTTTATTCATTGTTCCATGAATAGGTTGTTTTCATTGGCTGGTTGATRTTAGTTTGATTTKTTAATTATTGGGTAGTTGATTGGYTGGTGTATTGTATTGATAACAATTAGCAGCKTCCTCTACAAAGCCAGAGAACACGCGGACGTACAGTAGACTGGAGCCTTCACTTAATTCATTCATTCATTCATATATTCATTCATTGTTCTTTTTCTATTTCTCCTTTAAGGACACATCTCAGCCACATAAGGACTCTCTTAAACAAGTCCACGATCAAGTGAACCGAAGAGCCCAAAGGGTACCCCCTGTCGGGAGTGAAACCAACGAAATCAACTCCTATTCATCTCTGAATTCCTCCAATGGTTTAACGAAAGCTAACGGAGCCGACTCGTCCAATGAAATATTAYCAAACAAGGACTCTCCGTTCAGCAGTAAACCCCGTATGGCGAGGACTCCTGTTCAATCTAAACGCACCCACGCAACGCAGCCAACGCCTGGGCACATCAAACAGAATTCTACGGATAACCTGGACATCAAAGGAGTCAAGATCAAGTCCAAAGACATTGGCGATAAACACCCCGCTTTGAATTCTGGGAAATCAGGGGACAATCTCTCGAATGTGACGTCTGKCGTTGGGAGTAGCATATCAGGCAGCGAAGGGACCACTGACATGCGCAACGTGTCCGTAGTTGGGCAAGGTATTGTGGGCCTCGAGAAGGAAAGAACAGATTCTATCGATGATAAAGTTGGGACAGCAGATAGGAAGAAACTTGTGTATGAACCAGAGGAATATGACGACGACGATGATGATGACGATGACGATGATGATGAGGACGATGATGATGATGATGATGATGAAGAAGATGACCAAGAGAACAGCGATGATGAAGATGAGAAAGACGATGACATTRTGCCGGACGATTTGGAAAACAGCGACGATAGCAGCGATAGTGATTCAGATCTTGAGCTAGAAACTGGAGCTGAGGAAGGTAGGAAACGAGACATGACTCCAAGRACCATGAGGAAAAGTCTCTCGAAGTCTACACGAGAACGAATGGAACGGAAAAGACAGATGGAAGAAGAAAGACAACTCAAAGAGCAACAGCGAGTSGAGAGTCTTGARCGAGAAAAAGCCAGACAACTCAAGATCAAGAAAGAAGAGGAAGAGCATCTTAGRAAGAAAATTATGAAAGAGCAGCAGGARTTGGAGAGGATGTTGCAAAAGAAAGAAAAAGAACGAGAGCTYGAGAAGCAAAAACAGAAACTTCTGCAAGAACAGCTCTTGCAACAAGAAAGAGCACTTACCGAGAGACTCTTGAAGCAACAGGAGGAACTTGAAGAAATCGAAAGGGAAAAACAACGAGAGCGGGAAAGAGAAAAGGAAAGAATGAAAGAGAAAATGAAGCAAAAACAGCTAAGACTCCAGAAGGAGAGGGAAGAAGAAGAGGATAAAAGAAAAGAAGATGAAAGRAAGAAAGAAGAACTTTCTGGAAGGGCAAAGCTCAATCAAAAGAAAGAGATGGAGCTGAAGAAGAAAYTAGAGCTTGAAGAATCCGATAAGAGAAGACGGCAGCAACAAGCATCAAAAGATATGAAAGAAACATTAGAAGATAAAGGTAAATTAACGTATTGAAATTGACATTGGAGCACGTACACTTTGTCAATGAAATGTTATCTAAACATTTTAATTCRTGGACATAGTGTACGCTCTCTRCTAGAGAGTTCTCTATTGYGGCTTTGTTCCGTTGCAGAATGACGTTCATGAGATTCTAAATGTTAACGCTATGATTGTCAAGAATTTAGAATCTATATGAATAGACTTTTGATTAACTTTTGATACAAGACTCGACTGGGTAATGGCTTTGACGCACGTCAATGTTTGATCGTGAAATGCCTCTCGGTAATATCATCAATGTCCAATAAATATTCATATCAAGGCTGTATAAAGATAAAGCTATTTTGAATTAGACGAGAAGTTGCATTTTATCAGACAAGTTAAAACCTTATTAGTCGGTCATAGACAAAGCTTCCTTCGAGATCACTTGGACTGCTCATTTTCATCTTAAACGATGTTTGAATACATATGGTAGACCCTTTGTTCACACGATATCATGTGGATTCTTTATTAAAATTGCTTAAAGTAATAGAGCAGAAACGACGTTTTCTGCAATCATAAGATCATCTCAAAAGAGTATAAACTTTTAACCTGTACATCTAGATCCATATAATACTTTGTTGTTCAGACGTTAAAGAATATGTTTACAAAATTTCAAGCTTGCTTATATGTAGGTGGATCCATACTTAGATACAACACTAATTGTCTCCTTGCRAGGCTAGACACAATATAATACAATRTTGAACAATCCAATGCTACGTAGAAAATAACAATAAAATATTTTATATCTTCATAAGGAAACAAAATGATTTTATGTGTAACAAAACAAAATTATAATGTTGTTAGCGATGTTTRTGATGTAAAAAAACTYRCAAACTTCCTGCSCCAACAGGCTATTTATTCCAGCTATCACTGCGTGGTGCCACGTGGGGTAGTCCTGTTGCTGTGGTTACKTGTAAAYAACTGTRGCTTTTCTCATTAACATGCAATTATTAAGCRCCTSGTCTKCTCTGAACCTTAACGATAGAATGTTCTCAGAATTGGATTGCAATTTTKACCAAATTTTTWATGGCATTTAGTGGAAGCGTAAGGATTCTGCTTTTAAGAAACTACCGAAAAARAAARCWACTTAAACWGAAGAAGATTATCGTATCCCGTCAATCGATTGTTATTTAYGTTTTTTAATGTACATGCTCTGYRCACAAGAATTCGAAACTTGAGTACTCTGTTTTTGAGACATGTKTTTCTTATGGAATGTTTGTGAAATATGATTTTATTTTTGTTGCAGTCAAAGATTTGAGTATCACTGGTTCGAGTACACCCTTAAAGCARCCTTCGGGGAAATCCTCAAGAAAGAAGAATCAAATGTCTTCGTAAGTAGCCTGCCATAGTCTTGCAGTTTAGCGGAATAGTTGTCCCATTATTTCATTCATTTATTCATTAAACTATACATTCATTTTTTAATCGCGTCTTCCATTCAGTCATTTTATTTATCTAGTTGATTTTAGTGGGATACTTGTCCCTTTTTTTCATTTTTTTTTTCATTTTATTCATCCATTCATTCATTTTCAATAGTTTCTTCCATCCATTTATTTATTCGTTTAATTGATTGATATCAAGGGTTTTTAAGTAGTCTCATTTAGATTTTTGTTTACCAATGATGTATGTTTCCGTTTGGCGCAACATAATTTTCAGAAATTTCCGAAAGCACCCAAGATCTTGGCCATCCTTCAAATTTTATTCATTTTTTTCTCGTGCMAATCGCTTATATTAACCATGATTATTTCATCAAATTTCAGTCCTCATTCTGACCGAGACGAGTCTTACGCCACAACAGAAGATCCTCAGGATTCTCGCCGGCATTTCTCTGCATCGTCTGGTTCGTCGTCAGCTGCMATATGGGAAGTTTCTCTGGACGATTTACAACCGTTTCCTAATCCTGACTCTGCTATTAAGAATGCGTTTAAATACTTGGCAAACACTGAAGACTGGTACGTAGTTATACATTCTAATTTGTATTATCAAACCTGCCCTCATGGGATACCTGTGTAGGACAGGGTACGTAAGAATCTGATAATGATTCTCAATTCATACGCTTGCGTTATAGGGAAAGCAAATGTGAAGGTCTACAGCTAATCCGACGACTGTCTAAGAACCATCCTGATTCATTTGGTCTGCAGTTGCACCCCGTCATTCTTGCTGTCGTTGCTGAGGTAACCAAAACCCTTCACCCTTATGATTTCCACGATCCTTTGGTGTTTTTACATTAAGATTCCTTCATTACAGTCAACTCTTGTTATTGCACTAGTAAAGTTATTTTTCGGCACTCTATATATGCCATATTAAAGGTGGTTTTTACTTGTTRCAGGTAAAGAATCTTCGTTCGCAAGTCAGTCGAGCTGCAATCTGTTGCCTAGGYGATATGTTCACGTGTTTAGGTCGACAAATGGACATGGTAAGAGAACTCGTACCCATTCCCTTTGTGCTTCAATCGTTACACATTGACGATCTGTTGTGATCTACAAAATTATTCTCTGGGAATCCCCTCCGTGMATATATCCCCGACACCCGGGTAAATTACCCTTTTAAAGTCCTGTAGCCGGTTATACGAGAAGTAAATAACGTTATCCATCGGATAAATCCATATCCAATGATAAAAAACCCATGCAAAATCAAGGAAGTGGATAGCTTTATCTGGAGGATACATTTATCCAGCCTTTGTACAACTTGTGTTTTATTTCAAATACATATATATCCATGTGTTTATATTCAGGACCTGGAGGTAACATGTAAGATTCTACTGCTMAAGAGTGGCGAGACAAGCGGTTTTATACGAGATGATGTTGATAAAGCGATGTCAGCCATGGTTTGTAACGTAACTCCAACGCGCGCTCTTGTGGCAATCACTTCCCATGGATGTGGGTACGTAATCTATCGTAACGTAACTATCCGGAGGAGTACGACGGAAGTACGCAGTTTACGTGTTGAAAGAATAATAGATGTCTATGTGATTGTTTTAGAAATCGTAGAGTCGCTATCTGTTGTGCAAGTGCTCGGTGTAATTGTGGAAAGAATAATACGAAATTCGCTTGTTTATTTGAAATCGTAACGTAACTATCCGTAAGACTACGACGTAAGTACTCAGTGTACTGGCCTAAAGAATACTAACTAATGTACTTGTTTGTTTGAAATCGTAACGTAACTATACGTAAGACTGCGACGCAAGTACTCAGTGTACTGGCCTAAAGAATACTAAGCAATGCACTTGTTTGTTTCAGAAATCGTAGCGTAACTATCCGTAAGACTGCGGCGCAAGTCCTCAGTGTGCTAGCGGAGAGAATAGGAACCAATCGATTAATGAGCGGAGCTAAAGATGTTACGGACAAGATACTACCAGCCGCTGCCCAGTTTGCTACCGATGGTGGCTCAGAAACAAGGTGTGTAATGTTTGAACAAAAACATCTTCTAGATAAGACAGTTTTCGATATATATCTGTACTYTTACTCCTTAGGCAATCCCGGTATGGGTACATGTAGTTCACAATAATGGTTATATGAGATTTAACAGTAGATGTAGGAGGTTATATATTCTCTTGTCTGTGTGTAGATATTATGGGCGAAAGATTCTGTACACGATACACGAGCATCCTGATTTCGACAAATTGCTTATGAAACACGTTGCAGCGAATCAACATCGTCAAATACAAGATATCGTAGCGAMCATGAAAACTAAGGTAAGATTAATCACCCTATCATCATCGTAATCTCAACTTTGCTTCGAACGTCGAATTTCACATGTGATGTKTACAATGCAGAGTATTCCAGTTCATTTCTGTTCAATATCAACAAATCTGTAATGAACTCGACACATGAGAGTTACGACGTTGATCTTCAATTACAAGCTTCATGTTTCACTGCATCTTACATTACTGATTGCATTTTAGGGACTTGGTGATCCCCCTAGCGACCATACATCAGCTCGTCAACGAAAACACCCTGGAAGCTCGCACAGTGGCAAAGGATCAGTGAGAAGTAGTTACGATCCTGGAAGTAGCGTGGTTAACTCACCAGTAGCCTCAAGGTTAGTTGAAGAGTTTTATTCGTGGACGTTTTGTGTTTTTGCGCATTATTCTTTTACTATGTTTACTTTATATTTTGTATTTCGCTTATTCAATTTTAGTTTGAGAATATTTTCGCTATATAGAAACGAAGTAACAATGGGTTATTCTAGTATGCAGCTACCTCAGTTTTTTGAGTCTGCGTAGCAAAGCGTTCCTAGCCGCTCTGAGAGAATTTGAGGTTTTTTCTCAGGCCTAAGCTCCCTCGGAGCGACTAGGAACGCCTGGCTACAGGCTACAGTTTTGTGTTCTATTCTAATAGCCATGTATTGATTTGTTTCGTAAGAAGACAACCAATTTTATTTAAATCTTACGTTTTATTCCTACTAAAATAGTTATAAGTCATATATTTTCTTTGTGAAGTTCGTGCAAAAAGAAAACAATTAATTTGTGCTAAAAACAATTATTAATTGAATATTAACGAGAATTGGTTTCTTTATTAGGGAATCATCCCGCAGTGGCAAATCACGTGACGTAGTTGATGTAAGTACAATGGAATGGTATAKTGATGGTTGTGTTTTTTCCATTAGAGAAATTAAATTCACGAAGAATGAATATTGAAATTGAACTCCATAAATGCAAAGAAGTGAAGAACTTTTAACTTTGACTATTAAACAGGGCGAAGAACACATTCCCGAGGTTCTAAGCTTGTTATCTAGTAATGACTGGAAAGAACGACTACAAGGGCTGGACCTATTTGTAGAACTAGCAGAACGAAATCCTCAGGGATTGGGAGCCAAATTTACCAAGGTAGGTAACATCAAATAATCTATATGATCTTATAAAATGTTGTTTTTTTTTACTTTTATCCTTGTGTAGTCTGTGAAGCGGCCCTCTTTCGGCCACAGGGATCCCAAGAGGGCCTCTACACAGGCTACTCCGCATGCAATTGCTGCGTGCTCCTCTTTCATCCATGGGCTTCCTTTATGATTGACTGATGACAGAGGACTGAGAACGAGAAATTATGTTCACAAAAACCCAAGAACAAAAAGTCTCAGTGATGGCTGCCCTTCTCTTTTAAATTTGTTTCCATCTTGAAATTTCTGTATTTCATGTCAACTCATTGAGACTCTGTTCCTTCAGGTTTTCGAYAATTTTATTCCAAGACTTACAGATTCCAATAGCAAGGTATAAAGTTTCTTTACACGATTAAACTACGTAGAAAACCCAGTAACGGACAAGTCTTCCTTCTATTCACAGGTCAATCTTTATGCACTCCAATGTCTACCGAAGATCTTTCCATCTATGTCTGGCCAATCAGGAGCGTTGGTTCCTCCAATTGTCAATGCATTGACTTCTAATTTAGCATCTAAAAATACGAGTATATTCAGCACTACTGACGAAGCTCTAACGGCAATGACTACATTTATAGGTAAATCTTACTTTTATTATGTTATTTTATGAATTATACAGTGGCACAAAGACCTACTTGCATCCGAGATCCTTTGCGCGATTTTCTTACTTACAAAAAAAACGCCATCTTTTTTATCACCCTCGAGACTTGACAAAGGGTACGTTAATAAGAGGTTGAACTCCACCACCTTGATAGTTTTATCACTACCATGATACACTTCGCTAAAATAAACATGACGTCATGATGGATAGGTTCAGCTCTGTACATGAGGAATTGCATCACAAAAGGTGCTTGCTAATCTCGGTAGCCTTGTGTAGAGGAAAGACCGTTTCCATTTTTCAGCAAGAGGGTCTTAGTTGTTGTTGTTGTTGTCGTTGTTGGTGTCGTCGTCGTTGTTGTTGTTGTTATTATTATGTTTTGCTTGGATTTCTTATGCATTTATTTACCTTTATTTGTGTGCGTTTCTTTCAGATAACGTATCCCTAGTGCAACCATTTTGTACCACATCGCAATTTGGCAATAGCAGAGTRAAACCCATCATAATAGAGAAATTATGTTGTAAGTTTTAAAAACAGACTTTCCTTGTTATGTAAAATATAAACTGGCTTAAACATTCATCAATGGGAAAGTACTATCAGGCATTTTATCAAAGATACATCGTCTTATACGATATATTTTGTTATTTTCAAGTGATAATCGACAAGGTCCACGCCCGAAAACCMCAGGTCATCAACCGGTATGTAGTCCCTCTGATTTGGCAACTTCTTGGCTCGACCAGTACTGGAAGCGCRGGATCTGGTACCGGRGACATCAAGAATGCTACCGTTAGGCTTACTAATGTTGTTTACTCTTGTATGGGAAARGCCCTTGTAGAYCAATCGTCTACTCAAGTGCCTAGAATACAAGAGCGCTTGAAGGATATTATAAGTGCTTGATAAAGAAATGGCTAGATGTTTGATCGYCATTTTAAGTTAATTTGCGTTGTAATTGTACATAATACTTTTATAATTTTCGTAGATTCAGGAAATTGTGAAGGGAAAGATAGTTTTCACTAAGTATCACTACTGCGTGAATACTTAAAAGTGCATCGGCAAAAATTTCCTTCTTTAATTAAACCTTTTTCAGTGCTTCTATCCCAGAAATTTAACGCGGAAACTAAACACATTTCCTGAGGTACACAGATGGGCAAAAACAGCACATTTAAAGGGGTACAAACTGTTTCGACTAAGTCTGTTGTTTTGATTGGTCGCTACTCGGCCAATCAAAGCGCGCGTACGATTATTTCATAAAATCAACGCTCACTAGTTTCAATTTATTTTAGAGATTTATAACGGGCACTTGCCAGGACGAATACATAATAAGTGTTCAATTACTAGCAAGATTGGTTATGTAAAGAGAGACAMAGAGCACTATATGTAAGATAGAAGGCTCCTCTTAGCCTCCTCCGTAAAGAGAGTAACAGCGGAGGAGTCTACATCAGGTTCCTATGCACGCTTGTGCGCTAGACGTTAAACTCGAACGTAGAGAACGCAAAATATTTGGCATTCTCATAATTTATTTTGCGTATACGTATAAATCACTCAAAATTAGGCGTTTGGGAGTAAAATGGTGGGCTTTCGATTCGCTAGAGATGAATTATAACTGTAAAAATGCATGTGGCGCACCAAGTTCAAGGGCTTTTTTTAATTTATGAATATTTTATTATTTTCCATTGCTTGTGGTGTATAAATTARTACTCAAAGCCTTCAATTCAAAGCAACGAATCGTGTAAATAAGTTGGCTTTGCGGTTAGTTCAATGTGTGTATTTATAAGAACACTTATAAATAAAGAGTGCTACARTCTTGCTATATACTGAATTTGGATTTTAGGAATATGTATTCCAAATTTTGTGTATTATTTATAGGCATCCGTTTCCCTCTCCGGTCTCAATATCAGCAGAAAGCCAGAAAGCATGTTTCATTGATGTATAAATTATGTCTTAGACCAGCAAAAGAGAAAACAYCTTKRATATTAAATTTTKSTTYYKGGGRWTWAWTTYC